CTCTCCTGCCCCCCCCCCCCGTTTTGTAGGGGACAGTAAATTTAAAGAATGACGAGCGTTATAAGAGGTGGCTGGCCGTTTCACAAGTGAAGATGCAGTAAAGCACATTTTGTAAAACGTCTCATTGTGAATTAGCGTAGAGAAATGTCGGTTTACCAGATTTTGAGATGTTGACAACGCTTGCGTTGTTGTGCTTTTTTCTTCTTCGTCAATATTCAAAGCTTCGTTCAGGAGATGGTGGTGTACGCGTTGTACGATGCGAAGTCCATGTATGCATATGGTTAAAACATCGGCAGTTAGTTATCTAGCTGCTTCGGATGTTTAGCAGTGTCTCTACTCGTTACATATTTTTCGAGTTGCAACAGATTATGCTTCTCCCTATCGACCCTGACGTCTTCTTCCTCCCGCTCCTCGTGCCTCTCCTCTCGTTCTTCCTGCTACTCCTCTCCTTCCTCCTGCCTCCTCTTCTCATATTACTCCATTTTCTCCTCTTTGCTACTCTTCCTCGCCCTTCTCCTCCTCCCACCAGTGTCCCCTTTTTTGTCCTCCTCGTCCTCCCCCTACCCGTCATCTGTCCTCCTCTGCCCTCCTCCTCACTCTTCCTCCTCATCCCCATTCCCCTCCTTCTCCCCCTGTCGTCGTCATCGTCGTCGTCCTCCTCCTCCCCATCCTTTCTTCCTCTGCTTCTCCTTCTTATCTCTTTCTTCCTTTTCTTCTCACTGCCATTTCGTTACAATTAACAAAATATTAACCATATTATTATGATTGTATTATTATTGCATGATGATATCGACTGTTAAATTTTGAGTGCTTTTCCCGGGGGTTTTGCACATGAGCAGTCTTTTACTATGGCTGAGGTTGAACAAGCCTCGTCCCATTTGGTCCCAAATTTAAAATTTCTCTTTTTTTTTTATCTTGTCAATGACCCTGGAAGATCTGGTACGGGTCCCATTTGGTCCCAAGTTTTCTCTTTTTCTTGACCAAATACGGAAGATCTGGTACGGGTCGCTCGACCCCATTGGTCCCAAATTTTCTCTTTTTCTTGTCTCTGACCAAATACGGAAGATCTGGTACGGGTCAGGTAATCCCGTATTGCCTATGGCATTTGTTCAAAGGTGGTCTGTGGGACTGTGACAGCTAAACCCTAAAATTACACTGCCCATTTGTTTGCAGTACGAACGTGCAAAACCCCCCAACGAGCACTCAAAATGTAAGCGTAGGTTTCAACATCCAATTAACATATTTTGTTGATTTCAATGAAATGGTAGTTTTCTTTTCCTCCTCCCTCGTCCTTGTCTTTCCCATCTTCCCGTCCTCCCTTGCCATTCCCTGCGCAGCTGAACGGAATACTCGTGAACGTGAGATGCTGGTGGGATAATTGTCCGGACGTGTTCGGCAGGGCCGATCCGCTACAAGATGATGGCACGTCCGCTTCCCTCGTCCAGCGACGTCGAAAATCGTATGCCCCAGGAACAAATTTGCGGGAGCGGAACAAATTTGGGAATTACAAATTATTACACCAAATTACATGCCGTCTTCCTCCCTGTCGCGACGTCCATCCTCCCTTCCCTCTCCTTCTCCCTCTGCCCCACCCCACCCCCTTGCCTCCTCTATGCCTTGTTCGGTCCCTCTCGTTCTCCTTTCTTCCTCCTCCTCTGCCTCCATTACCCGTCTCCTTCTGCGCTGTGCATATTCCTCCTCCTCCTCCTCTATCTCCCAACTAGTCGGTCACGTTCTTCTCATCTTGTCCTCCTGCTTGTCGCCCTCCTCCCCGTTCTTTTTCCCATCCCTCCTTCTCCTCTGCCTTGGACTCAGCTGCTGCCCTTGATGTGATAGGGATGTGGTCCTCCGGTGTGCTTGCCTGGAAATTGCCATGGCTGATACTTCTTCATGGGGTCCAGCTTCTGTCACTCCCTTGGCAGGAAACAAAACAAAACAAAGCCCAGCCCAGCCCAGCCCAGCCCAGCAGTACGCATGCGCCGGTTTGCTTTTTTCTCTTTTGGGGTGCAGGGCATTTCCAGCCCTGGAGAAAAGTGCGTCAGAAGTGCTGGTGGCTGAAGGTGGCATGATTTATCACTAAGTTGAGTATCATTGGTTAGGGGACTCTTCGGGCTGTAGAGGGTCCGGTTGAACCGGGATGGCCCTTGTGGCATGATTTAAATAATGAAGAGCTACTTCTCTTCTCTTATACTTGCGCGGCGTGACACAGTCCCGCGAGACCCTTTTCCCTGTTGGGCCTGGGGGGGCTGTGTGGGGCGAGGTTCCCCTTGGGGCCATCTCATCAGTTTTTTTTTTTTTGCCTGTCGTTTTGTAGGTGGGCACGAAGGTTCCACGTGCTGTTTGCCATGTGGGGCATGTTCGAATACAAGTCCATTGTGCAAGGACCCGTGAAGTCGTTGCTTCCCAGTTGATTCACTTTTTTTTTTTTTTTTTTTTTTTGATGGAATCAAACTTTGTATTGCAAAGGCTGAAAAGGAGGCTGGGAGTTCTCACAAGCAACCCGGAAGTATTTGGGGCCATTACACATCGCAACTTTTTTAATTCAGTAGATTTTGTTACTTTGCTTTCAGTAGATCTGCTTTCTTTTGTTGTTTTCTACAGCCAGGGGGCCTCATGGCATGCACTAAAGACAAAAAATATGGCGGTGTATCTTTCCATCTTCCAGCGGAAGATCCAGTTTAACTTTTGCCCGTTTATCCCGTTAGGGCCTTGCTCCATTGCTCATGACGTGCACAAAAGCCAAAAGAGTGGATTTGTTGGCTTTTTTTTTTTTTTTTTTTTTTTTTTTGTGATTCGTTGGCTTTTCTTCTTTTCAGTAGATTTGTTTTTTGTTCGGCTTTTTCTGAGTAGTCAGAGTAGGGGCAATGCAATAATCCCACAGCCAGCGTGTATCATCCCGTGCACAAAAGACAAAAAATATGGCTGTGGATCTGTCGAACGTCCCTCCAGTACTCGGGACATGCACAAAAGACTAACGGTATGGCCGTGTATCTGTCCATGTTCTACCAGAAGATTCATTCTGATTCCGTACATGACCGTCGCCAAGTAATTCAGAATTAGGGCACCACTCTCGGAATGTGCAAAATGAGAATGAACTTCTCGCTAGAACATGGCCAGATGCACCTGCCACATTTTTGTTTTTTTCACATTTGGAGAGTGGTGTGGCGACGCCCTTATGCATTCCATTCATCTAGGTCCATCAGCATTCGATATGAGGAGCTCTGTATTTCAACGGTTCACGGATGTACCAAGTAAGCTAAGGTTGTCGGTTGCGGGCATCTGCGTTGTTTACTTCATAAAATGCAGTTGTGCGATTCGGCCGTGTGGGCTTCACAGTTTGTTGTTTTTTTTTCCCCACCCGAATAACGTGTATTTTTCCCTCCCCCCCTGGGGCTCGGACCGACTAGCATCGCGTAAAACAGTGTGTGGTTGTGGCATACTGCATAGCCACACGGGCCCTGCAGGGCCCGTCCCGCACTTTCAGCCTAAAAGCCTAGAAAATAGGGCTTACAGGCCCCGGTCGTTTCAGCCTGAAACTGAAAAACGAGGGCCTG